TTGATTTTGGTAAAGTATACTTAGTACCTCTGGAATAACATTCCAAAAAGAAGAAATATTGGGAATGAACAAAATTCTAGGCGTGTGAATCTTAGATTTCTTGTTTGTTTTGATTGATATGTCGAATGACAAAGACTGAAGTAAACAAATTGAAAGTATTTGAAACGCATAATATTTTTCAGCATTTAGTATACTAATCAAATATGTTGTTCTTTGTCATATTTATTCCCACAATTGTTTATAGATTCCCTGAACTGTTAAAATATTGTGAAGCCTTATACGCATCAGCATGATCATAACATGATCTAGCTGCAACGTTAATTAATGCAATGAAATGAGTATTTTAACATTAATTTTCTTTTTTTTTTTATAAAGCAGAATATTGGTACATGATGTTTCCATGAGCTGAATCTGTCCTGACCTGGAGTACATGAAATTCTTCAAAATATTACTTGTTTAAGGTAAAGTAAATTTTTTTTTCATTTCAAAATTCAATAAATCTTTCAATCTAAAACTGATTCCTGTAAGTATAGATCTTAAATTAGTCTTGTATTTTCCATGTTTTGGATGAATTAATGAATTTGAATTAATTGATATGGAAGAGTGTTTTCAATTTGATATGCAAATGAGTGCTGGAAATATACTATCTAAATGTCTATAATCTAAATTTTGAACCTTTACAATTTTTTGCAGAATTGAAGAAAAGGTTAAAATTGCAAGCATATTTCAACGAAAACTTAGCCGACTACCAGTCACACTGCCCGCCAGCCAAGACGTCTGACCAGCTAAAATGAGGGACGCAGACCACCAGCCAAGTCCCTCGGCCAGCTCGGCTGACCCAGTGCGGCCTGTCATTTTAGGGATGACCAAGTCCATCAACTAGCTCGGCTGACTACCAGTGCAGCCTGTCAAGTCCTTCAACTAACTTGGCCTATTACCAGTGCGGCCTGTCATTGAACAACCAAGTCCATCAACTAGATTGGCTTACTACCAGAGCGGCTTTTCAAGGGATGGTCAAGTCCGTCAACTAACTTAACCTACTACCAGTGCTGCATGTCAAGAGATGGCCAAGTTCGTCAACTAGCTCGGCTTACTACCAGTACGGCCTGTCAATATAGGGATGGTTAAGACCGTTGACTAACTTGGCCTTCTACCAGTGCAGCTTGTCAAGGGACGGTTAAGTCCGTCAACTAACTTGACCAACTACAGATGCAACCTGTCAAGGGATGGCCAAGTCCGTCAACTATCTTGACCAACTACCAGTGCGGCCTGTCAAACGATGGCCAAGTCCTTCAACTAACTTGGCCTACTACCAGTGTGGCCTGTCAAACGATGGCTAAGTCTGTCAGCTAACTTGGTCTACTACCAGTGCGGCCTGTCAAACGATGGCCAAGTCCTTCAACTAACTTGGTCTACTACCAGTGCGGCCTGTCAAACAATGGCTAAGTCTGTCAGCTAACTTGGTCTACTACCAGTGCGGCCTGTCAAACGATGGCTAAGTCTGTCAGCTAACTCAGCCAACTTTCAGTGCAGCCTATCTTCAAATAATAAAGATAAACAACTGTATACCTGCAAGGATACCTGTGCAAGGAGGGTGGTATGCAGCTAGAAACTGTAACTGAAATCACTGTTTAGAACCTTTCTTTTTTTTGAAATACAGCTAGATCAAAAATAAATAGGGTGTTAATATTTAAAAATTAGTGATGTCTGTTTATACAATTAGCAAGAGTAGAATGCAGTTTGCTAGGTAATTTTACAAAGACCCTAATTGCTATATGCTAAAAATGTATTCTTTAAAACAACCAGAGAAATTTCAATCTGTTGTAGATGACATGATGAAAAATAAGGTACACTTGAATTTTGAAAACAATTGCATGTGCATTCATTTAGTTGTATTTGACAATAAACCAAGCTATCTTTATCGTGTTTGTTAGGTAAAATTGTTATTGCCTTTAATATGTTTTAAATAATCTTTTTTGTATAAATTTCAAAAATCTTTTTTTTTTTAAATTTTAATGAGTAGCTTTTTAAAAGCTTATAACTGAGTAAATCCACAACGGGTTAACGTACAGTGTATAATTTCACTGGAACTTTTACGAAAGTTTTTATTAATAGGTATAACTTTTTATAGTTATAACTTTTTGCAGTTATAACTTTTTTTAGGTATAACTTTTTCATAACTTTCTTGGGGTATAACTTTTTTGTAACTTTTTCATAACTTTATAATAGGTATAACTTTTTTTAGTTATAAATTTTTAATGGGTATAACTTTTTTGTAACTTTTTCATAACTTTATAATAGGTATAACTTTTTTTAGTTATAACTTTTCCTGGGTATAACTTTTTCCGGGTATAACTTTTTTGTAACTTTTTCATAACTTTTTTTGGGTATAACTTTTTTGTAACTTTTCCACTGTTTATTTGGGTATAACTAAAGTATAACTTTGTAACTATTTTATAACTTTTTGTGTAACTTTTAATAAGTATAACTTTTTGTAGTTATAACTTTTTTATAACTTTTATGTACTTGCTGTATTTATGTTGAATAAAAGGTGAAAAGTTATGCAAAAGTTATAACTTTTTTGTAACTAAGTTATAACTAAATTATACCTCACTTAAAACATGCCATTCCAAACTCCGATAACTTAGTTATAACTTTTTTGTAACTTTTTTTAGTTACAAAAGTTATAACTAAGTTATAACTTTTTTCGGTATGGGTATACCATGCTAACGATGCTTCATACAAGTAATTTCACACAAATCATTTTAACATAACATTCATGAAATTGATTCTAGGTAGCTCCAAGTCTTTGCTTCCTTTGTCCTGAGCTTGTGAACATTCACTGCATTGCAGATTGCCTGACACTTGCTGCTGCACAAGCAAAAGACAGCATTCCCTACCTGAAGAAATTAAAGGATATATTGCAGCAGATACTGTAAACCAACTTTTATTCGCGACGAGTTTATTTCGCGATTTACCGTGTGTAAACTAGTTCGCGACGATTAATTTTCGTGATCAAGTCGTTTTTGGAACTGTTTCAATAGAAAAAGAGACTTTAAAGATATGTATGCCGTGTTAAACAGTATTTTTGCTCAGCTGAAACCGAACAAAAATTTCTGGAGTATGATAAGCTACCAAAAATGAAGCATTCTTGCAAATTCGACGAAATTTTATTCGGTATTAACAAAATACTGGTCAGGAAAAGAACACGATATTCTCATGCATATTTATAAAGGACTGACGTTTATCCTGGATCTGCGCATGTGCACGGGAAAAGCATCGCGAGAATCATCAGGTCGAGGAAAATATTTTTTGTGACGTCTGTTCAGTGAGGGACACAAATAGACCAATCAGCTCAATGAGTTGCATTTAATGCATTTATGGGTTACTACATAAAATACTACATGTGTTTTTCAAAAAGGCTATAGTTTTTTAAATCGCTCTCAGAAAGACATGATGCATTATGTACATTATTATCTACTAATCCCATGCTCATATTTGCATACAAATGATTAACAATGATAAAAATTAAAGTTTTCCCCACTCCATTGTACAGGTCCGTTTGTTTAGAGTTTCCCCGTGCTGTCGGTTGGGTGAACATTTACGGATCTTCAGTATGGAGCGCATTATGCGCAATAGGTATTTTATGTCAAATATAATGTATGGAAAGTAATTTAAACTGCTATGTTTACACCCTGAATAGGATATCGTCAATTATCCCTTTTGGTTTTTTAATATGAACTACATAACATATGTAGATGAAACTTACATTCCATACATCTTGCCTTCTTAGAAATATAGTTGGGCTAATAAAATAAAATTGGTCAAGGAATTCCAGGCCTCTAAAAACTATTCCAGTATGAGGGCAAAACCAAGCATTTCGATGAACACCATTAAGAAAAATTAATTCAGGTAGGTAGCATCGTTTTTTTTTAAGTGGGTGGGGGGTAGAACAGTTAGAATAAAAATCAACTAGCTCGAAGAAATCTGACAAGTAAAATAGGTTCCAATATCTTTCACTACTAAATTTTATTCATTCACTACAATTTACCGCCAAACTCCAAATTTCACTTTCGAATTAGCCCGAGCCAATGCTGATAACCTACTTGCAAGATTTTTTATATTATTTTCAAGGGGTCAGAAATATTGTGATTCATATGTAAAGAATATAATTATATCATTTAGTAGTATTCTGGTTTTGGCATTCGGTATATTGTGCAGATTTATACATGCTATTCTGTGGAATACTTTTGTTGTTTTGAACCATTAAGAAATGCAGAATCGAATGTATCTAATAACCATTTTGATTGATCAAATTATATCATTTGTTTGTATTGGTTATTTCATTTTGGCACAACATGGTTTCAACACTTCTTTATCCATAGTCGCTGACAGCTGTAGAAGTTCACCCGACCGAAAATGTCCATTGAAAAGACAATTGCACGTGATTATTCGTCGGTACGAAAAGCAACCAACTCTGAGGTGCTCTCAATATTGACAATCCCTAACTCACGTGTTTGTAGTAAAAACATAGTAGACCATCATGCTTTTCGGTTCATTCACGAGATTGGACCATCGTTTGCTGTAAACATGCGCGACAACGTGATCATGAATATTTCAATAAGAGGCGGTTTTTTATCCGACACGGAGAGAAAATAACTTTTACCAAATAATATTTCATAACTTTTAAAAGTGATGGAGTGGAATTGTCTTATTTGCAGAAAGTATATAACTTATATAACTTGATGAGACACCACATATATTTATTACTTTTAAAATAAAACACTAATACGGCATATATAGCTTTAAGGACCCGTTCGCGGCGAGAAATATTCGCGATTACGAGGCTCTAGCGAACCTCGCGAAAATTTCTCGCACGCGAATAAAAGTTGGTTTACAGTATTCATACTTACCAAAACTCAGAAGTGAGAATGGCAGGATTAGTTTATTGGTGACAATTCTAGGAGGACAGAAAATGAAGACAAATGAAGTGGCACTCAATGGTTGCCTCTGGGCAGGACTGTGACAGCAGTCAGGCAGTGCTTGCCTGCCCTCATTACCAGTTTGGAGAGAGAAAAGTGAAAGATCTGATGCAACAGCATCTGGTCTATGTATGTTTGTAAAGAATCCAAATTTCATAGCCTCTGTATAAAAGATGACAGATATCCTTCCTGCCTCATCTTTAAAGACTTTCAAAATCCTTCCAGTGAGGAACTTTATAAAATAAGAATAATGTATATATAAATTTATGTTTATAGAAGTTATTTTTGTTCTCACATTTCATTTTTGTTGTATCGAATTTATTTTGTCTTTTGTCTTAGCCTGATATTTCCCCCTTAGAGCCTCTTTACCCTGTTTTGATTTCAAGTCATTTGATGCCGTTTTTTCCCTTGCCCTAGTCTACTTGTGTGCCAAGTTATATTGAAATCAGACCAAAACTGTAGGAGGAGTAGCATTTGAAAGAATTTCACAGAAATTTCTATTTTTAGTAAACACAGCAACACCGTTCATCGAAATCAAAAACCGATAAACAGAAGTATGTATCTAAGTGTAATCTACTTGTTTGCCAAGTTGTATTGAAATCAGACCAAACCTGTAGGAGGAGTAGCATTTCGAATGATTTTCAGAAAAATTTCTATTTTTAGTAACCACAACTACACCCTTCTTTGAAAACAAAAACAAATAAATAGAATTATGTATCTCAGTGTAGACTACTGGTGTGCATTACTATCCCATAAGCTCTTCTGGTCTTTGACCAGTAGAGCTAAAAATGGCAGACTTAGAAATAAACATTTCTATTCCCCTGAATAACAGCCAGTTAAGAAAATTATACGAAGATAACAAAGAGAGACAATACTTCTCAGCGGAAAATAGTGCCCACGCTATGTCCGAAGAAAATAGTGCCAACACAAGTACGCAGAAAAACAATGAAACATCTTCCAGTGTCGCTAGTACAAACTCTGTTTTAAATACAGAAAATGTTCCTCAAAATTCCACTAGTCAAAACCGGGATCCTATGACGGTGATGCAACCGACGACTCAATCCCCACCTCGCAGTGATACATTACTGTCAACTTCCGCCCAGAGCACTTCGGAAGGCCTCGGAAACAATCACAAACTAGAAAGCGCTCATGTACAATTTCGCTTAAAAAAAGAAGTGCAGTTATGAAATAAAGACAAGTACAGTCATGTGTATGCATGTAAATCTGCACATCTGATATTGAAAAGAAGAGCATGCTGGGTCTATCGTCGTGGTATTATGCCAATAGTATGTAAAATGAATTCTTGAATAAATTCATTCTTGATGGCATCATTGTTAATGAATCATTCACAATTTATACCGTATAATTATTTTTTCAGCAAACTTTGCATTGTTTAAAGCAGAGATCAACAAAATAATATCGTTATTAGTGTACTTTAACAACGACCGCTTTCATGGCAAAGCCGTGACTAAGTGATTTTTATTAAACAGAAAATAAAATTATTATAACAGTTCATGTTAAAATTGTTTATTTAATTCTTGTTTAATTACTTAATTGCATATACATTGTCTGCCTTTGCATGCTTTACAACAGGGATAGCGTCAACCAATTAGCCGCACTTCACTGACCACATCCACCTGTGGCGGTATATTGAGACAATTGACACCTTAAAATGGACGTTTGTTGTGAAAACAGGGTGGCGGATGGCGGTATGCGAATTTGGCGTTATAAAGAGAATTTTATATAGCAGGAAAAACATTCTTGGGAAATCATGGCGGTATTGCGAAAATGGTGATGAATCGAATGGCAATAATTTGAGAATTGACTGTATTTGAGGAATAGCAATGGATTACATGCATGTGTTCTGTTTGGGGTGGTTAAAATGCTACCAATATTGTAGTTTGCCAAATCGCACAATCAAGATATTTATTTTATTGTAAGATTATCCAGATCCTTGATTGAAATTTTTCACTATAAGGCTGCAGAGCTTGAAAACTCTCTCCTGTTCTACAGCTTGCCATGTCTTTTCGGTATTCTGATCCCAAGGACCTGTTTCAGCAATTTTTACTCCTAGTGATTTTTTTTAATGGGAAATGTGTAAGCAATGCAATGAATATTCAAAATTTTCTACATTAGCTACAAGTTTTCAATTTTCTTGACCTGCCTTCAAAATGTTCAAGGGTCTACATCAATATACTAATGCTACTTTCAAATTAAGTTTTGCCAGAGGAAAGAGTGCACACTGTCAACCTTGATTCTAAGATTTCCTGTTTTTCATTTTTTAAAAAAATATTTCTTTATCCATCCCCTGTGCAAGGCATAATTATAACAAATATTAGATAATTGATAGATTTCTATACTGTTTGTGTTAGACTTTGTAAATGAATAATAAACAATATTCTTAACAACTTAATCTATGCCAAATTAATTTTGAAAAGAAAGGCTGGCCATAAAATGACATATGCTATAAACTGACCAGCAGTTCTTCTGCTCAGCCAAAATTACTATTTTTATATTTAATTCATATGGAGGTAACCCCACCCCATAAAATTAGTTTTTAATTAATTAATATTATATATATATTAGATTATTGGTTTATTATGCATTATCAAATAAGAATTACTGGCATCAGCATTTTAAAACTTAGGCTAGCCAACAAGAGCTATTTTTAATCTAACAGCTAGGCTGGCTGTCCATTTGCCCAATACCCAAGGGATATTGATAACACCAATGCTCTACTTTAACTCCTCACACTAAACTCATTAATTTCTCTCTAATTTGACATGCAACTTTCTGCTATCAAAATTCTTCTTGACCAGTGCTTGTTCCTCTCATTAACATAAATTTGTTTAAGATTCCTGTAAAGTATATGATGAAAAAAATAAGTTTTTACTTGATTTAATACTTTTTAATAAGGATACGGGTTATGAAATTTAAAATTTAAAAAACTTAGTTTTTTAAAAAATTTCGTAAAATTAAAGGTCACAGTGACTCTGCCAAGTTTGATACAGGCCTCTGGTAATGTTTCAATATACTAATGCATTTTAATCTTTCATAATTAAGATAAGAAATACACAAAAAGGAAAGAAAAATTATATGGGCAACTATAACTGAAAGAAGCACAATAATTTTGTACAAGTCTTTTCAATTTTCTTTTTAATTTCTTTTCAATTCTGTCAGATGAGACAATTAGGGTTTTGGAAGGAATACTTAGAACTGATGTCCAAAATTATTTGAGGATACTCCTGCACCATATAGAGATCTGTAAAGCAAGGGTAAGTATGAGCGGTACATTCAGATAATAACCAACAGTACACAAGTCACAGTACTATACCTAATTTTTAGGGCTTTAGATGTTTTTTTTTAAATAACCTCATGAAAGTTCAATTTACAGTGATTACAAATGATATGTTTTATTTTATTGAAATAGGCCTCATGTGGAGACTTTCAACCAAGATCTCAAGACAAGTTAGACAATTGGAATGACACTCATCAAACTTCTAGTATAGCACACCACGACTTTACAGCTGAATATTGGCAAAACTTGGACTTTATACCTTCAATGCCTTCATCAACACTAGCTGCTGCAGATCATGGACAGATGTACAGAAATATAAACCTTTCACACACTATAACACATGAAACCTTGATAGATTCACCATCAACCCTACCAGCACCACCATCAACCCTGCCAGCACCACCAACAACCCAGTCAGCACCATAATCAACACTGCCAGCGCCACCATCAACACTGCCAGCACCATCAACCCTGCCAGCACCACCATCAACACTACCACCACAATCACCACCACCCCCATCATCATCACCTCTGCTAGTGCCATCCACTGAAAATGAGACCCTTCACATGTCATCACCACCACTTAGACGCTTACCCAGGAAGCACAAGGAAGGACTAAAGGAAAAGGTACTTTTTATAAGAATCTTGCAGCCTTGAAACAATTGGTAGTTTTAAAATTACTGGTTTTAAGACTGCACTTGGGCATTAAAGATTAAATTTTCATATATTTGTATGATTTTGATATATTTTCATTCCCATTTAGTTGTTTGTCTATTGAATTACTTTTTTGTATGTTTCTGGCTTTCAGAATTTCTATTTTGTATGTGTGTTTTAGTAATCAAACTTTTTCACGGAATGCAACTATAATGACAGTGTTTTGATCATATCTAATAAATAATAAAAATTAATTTTCCAGATAAAGCTTATTGAGGGTAAAAACACCAAAGTAGATCCAGACGGCATGAGGATGGCCACATCTTCTGCAAGAAAATCAAAGAGGCCAGGGTACATGCACCCTTTGTTACAAACTCCTGGCAAAGACTTTTTCATTACAGACTCTGGCCAGTTCTTGTGGCCAGGGCAAAGGAAAAAAGACAAAGGAAGACCCAAGGCTTGTCCTGGATGGCGACACAATCTGTGATCTTAAAAGCAAGAAAAACATTCTTTCTCCAATTCTTAAAAGTTTTACTTATAATTGCTATTGCAAAATTTAAAAAACAATTTTAAAGTATCAAATATAAAATGACAAAATGATCCTTTTAAGTACTTTTAAACCGATCCTTCTTTTTCAGATTATATTGTTCTATGGTGTAAGAAAAATGGCTTGGTTGTACCATCAGAAGCAACTCTAAATGACACCATAACAGAGAGGATCAGATGTGCCAGGAAACAGTTAAGCCCCCACCCCTCCCAAAAAAAAAAATAAATCTGACCCTGACATGAATGTTTACATGCATGAACATGTATGAAGAAAACTTTTCAATATGGAAATTTAAGTGTGACTCTGATTGGAATGTTTAAATGTATGAAGAAAATTTCTACATTTTAATACAAATGTTGAAACTTAAAAGTGAATCTGACTAGAATGTTTAAATGTATGAAAGAAATTTTTACTTTTTCAATACAAATGTGGAAATTTAATATTATTTTAATGTTATTAAATATAGTTTATATATTAGATATCAAATTTCCAAGCATACAGTGTAGTACCACAGTCACGTGATCATAACAGCCAATCAAATTACTCCTCAAGTTTGGGTTTGTCTCTCTTGCATGGTTTCTGCAAATATTCTCAAGTAAATCCTACAGATTTTATTCATATATCTTACTTTAAGAGCTGACATTGTTAATAATTCCTTGCTGTGGATTGTTATTTCATTCATACCACGTGCAGTTCCACGTGTGTTTGTTTATAAAATATGGACATGGACTATTAATTTCCTATACTGTGACCTAGATGCGTTGACCTCAGAGAAGTGATAATATTGATTGTTTAAGATTTCTGTTTATTCATTACTGAAAAGATGCCTGGAAGGAAACGAAAACGATCTGAAACACCAACAGGACCCTACAGGAAATTACTCGATGGGACACTAATGAACCCGAAAACTGGACATCCGCTGAAATATTACAAAAATTGAAATCAAAAGGAATCGTGCTGCCAGTATCTCTTAAAAAGTCTCAGTTAGTACAAATTTACCAAGACAATGTTTTGTGTAATGAAAAGTCGTCGACAAATAGCTTAACACACAATTTTGAATTTGTACAGATTCAAGATGGCGCAGGAGAAGTGGGGGAAGAGACACTTCCGGCATCATCATTACAAACAAATGGAAATGAAGCTGGCCGGGCGCATGTTGTCTTCTAACGAATTGAGTGATGCAATTTGTGGCATAAGGGATTCTGTAACAAAGTTGTCGAACGAATTGGACGTACTTAAGAGGAACCAAAATAGATCCAACCAGCCCAGTACCTCTACCGACAATACAGGGAGAAACTTTGAGAAAATTCCGTGGAACATGCCCCAGGATGTCCCGACCAGAGTTTCCTCCGACTCTGTTCCCTGCGTGGAAACGATATCTTCTACACTTCGAAACAATATTTTGCAAGGTTAAAAGATATTAATTTAGCCTTACTTATCATGCCTTGTGAGACAGAAGAACAAAGAGTAACCGATAGCGATGGTCATTTCTTTTACTGAAACAATATCATGACGCTAGATTACTGAGAAACTTAACTCTTAAAACTATTTTATTATAGCCTTCACGAAGTATAAGAACATTATTTGTGAGGTTTATCCTGCACCGCATCAAGAATTAGATGCCTATGAACGTGACATAGTAGAAATGGCATCTACTACAAGAGGTTCAGCCTTCTATGAATACCATAAAGCATTCTCAGCTTGAGCAAGTGCACTCTTGCTACAGGGAAACATCTACTGATAATCCCATTACAAAAAATAGCAACCAAATATAATAGAAATTAGTGAGCCTTTGATATTTGCAGCAAAATTTCACAATTCATTAACATTGTGCAATTTAATTGTTTTAAAATTTGGGAAATATGGCATTCCTCATTAAAATTATATATGATTTCTTAAATTATGAAAATAGACCATCAAAGACAAAAAAGAGAAGATATGTCTTCAAGTACCCAAATTCTTGGGAAAAAGAAGCAGAATTCCAAGGATGGTTCACAAAAAGTGTGATAGTAGGTCATGCTTTCTTCAGACTTTGTATGAAAAGTATAAAGATTGACTACAGTGAAAAAAACGATCTAATGAAGCATGTTTCATCAGCAGCTCATCAAATCAGTATATATTCCCAGAACCTCATAATGTCTATACAAAACTTCTTCACTACTTTGACTGACAAGGGCAAAACTTTACAACTTAGTAATAACTTTTTTTCAGAAAGGCCCCAACAGTAACCAGAAAATTGTGGCCCCACTGGCCCAAGAGCACAGCAACTTCCAGATTACCATGCCTAGAAAATCTCATTAATCTGACAATGTGTAATAGAGCAGATCCACAACATGCACCACAATATCAGCAGCAACATCATCAACATGGATGAAGTTCCCCTAACATTCGACATCCCGATGAACTGGACCATCGAGAACCAGGGTGCTAAGTCCATCACCATCCAGACCATCAGCCATGAGAAATCCTCATTCACGGTCGTCCTGAGCTGTACCGCTACCGGCATAAAGCTCCCACCAATGGTTATCTTCAAGAGAAAACGGCTTTTAAAGAAAAAATGCCATCTGATATTGTGGTTCACCAGAACGAGAAGGGGTGGATGGATAACAATGTTATGGACCTGTAGCTGACTTCCTGCTACAGTAAGCAACCAATTTTTTTCCTGACAAACCAATAGCCTGCTTGTCCAGGACTTCATGAGAGCACACATCAGCGATGTCACCAAGGACAGAATCAAGTCAACAGGGACCATTCCTGAAGTTATCCCCGGCAGCCTGACGAAGATATTACAGTCCCTAAACATTTTCATCAACCGATTTATGTTTTAAGACAGAGTTTCCCAAAATCTGGGAGAACTGAATGACGAAGTGGGAGAAGAGTCAAACTACGACGACATTGAATAGGAAAGATAGAAAAAAATATGTTGTTTCAAAACGTTATAAAATTTTTATATTTCTATATAAAAAGGTTGTACTATTAAAAATACCACTTTACTTTCCTTAATACGTTTATATCACACTGTAAATTAATAATTTAACGTTTAAGGTGTAATTGTTAGGATGAATATCTGACGCTAGACTGGGTGAAGACCGTGTGGGAGAAAAGGCCAGACTCCAGGAACCAAAGTCTTCCAGAGTTGGACGCCTTTCAGTGCCATTAGACAGGAAAAGACAAATGACTTCTCAATATTTATTCTGATTTTTAAAAAATGATTATGTGTCTGTGACATCCTTTTAAACTTTGTAATTTACCAACAGACATTGAAAAGTAACTACATGGTAACTGCATAAACTTAACTTGCTTCAGCTTATTTGTAAAGTTTAACATCCTTATTCACATAATAATCTGTTTGTGTATCACATTTTTTATGGCAGGGGTATGTTTATCTTAATATTAACATGTTAAATAATTTTGAATGAAATGGTCTTTCTTTTTTTTTAATTTCAAATGATATTGTATTTGTACTTTTGTTGAAGTTGATAGAGAAGAAAACACTTTTGAAGTGGTGATAATACTGTATATGATACAAGGTAGTAGATTGATATTTTTTTAAAAACATCCATCAAATAGTCATTTTTTACGACAAAATGCTGCAAAATAGGAACTTTGAAAAATGTCTTTACACGTAATCTCCCCCTAGAAAATTTTCAAAAGTTGGCATGTATGTAAAGTCTGGAGGGCTTATGATCATTTCCGGCAGAAATTTGTAAAGCTGTATTCGCCAAGGGAAAACATTGCTATTGATGAAAGGATGATTGCTTGGAGAGGCAAACAAAGGAAAAATATATGACCTGGTGATGAGACTTACAAATCCCTATCTAGGAAAAGGCCATAAACTCCACATAGATAACTACAGTAAAACTCGGTTATAGCGAAGTCCTCGGGACCTGTGAATTTAATTCGCTATATCCGTAATTCGTTATATCCGTATAACGAATTCGTATAACTATTATAGCGAATTCGCAATATGCATGTTTTCCTTAAGGTATTACTACCAAATATGTTAGGGAAGCAAATATTACAAAACATATCTTCGATAACTAATGTTTTATTATGAATTGAATATTATATACAAATGCTAGAAGGAAATAAAGTCAGTTCAATTTATCAAATTTTTTATAATCTTGGAAAGTTTGTTATAAAACGTAAATTTCATTAAATTTAACCTCAGCGGGACTTTAATTAGTTCGCTATATCCGTAAATTCGTTGTATCAGAGTTCGTTATAACCGTAAATTTTTACAAAGATTTGTTAACAATTTTGCTGGGGACCCAGGAAAACTTCGCTATATCCGTGAATTCGCTATATCCGTGTTCGTACTAAACGAGTTTTACTGTACTACACATCACCGATTCTTTTCCACGAATTATTCCAGCACCAAACAAGAGCCTGCGGAACCATGCGTATCAAAAGAAAGGGGGTCCCTGCAGATCTAAAAACAGTTCAACTCAAAAAGGGTGAAAGTGTGGCCATGACAAATGCTAAAATGGAGGGACAAGAGGGATGTACACGTGTACCACAGTGCACAACGCAGACTTCATCGACATCCCTGGTAGAGTAGACAGAACAACAGGACAGCCAATTCAACGCCCCTGCTGCATCGTGGATTACGATAAATACATGGAAGCAGTTGACAGATGTGACCAAATGATCACACATCCGGCTTTCAAACGAAGAACCTTGAAGTGGTGGAAAAAGGTTTTTTTCCACCTTCTTATGATGGCAACCCTAAATGCATACTTGCTTTATAAGGAGCATTGCCTGAGACTTCAGAAGAAACCTGTATTACATTGAGTCTTCAGAAAAGAAATCATAAAATCACTCGTAGGTGAGACCACCCCTTAACCCACTGTAGTTCCTGGAGCTGCCAATCCCAGAGATGTCAAGCATTTAACTGGCCGTCACTTCATATCAAAGATTGAGCAAAAGGAGGGACATCA